GTTACGGCTGGTAGTTCGCGCATCGCTTGTATGACAAATAAGGTACTTGGAGCTGCTCGTGCGTTGATGATCCGTGTCCGTCGCGTATCAGGTCGTAGTGGCAGTGGCTCGGCCTCTGATTCCGATCAGGCGAATAGTAACGAATCGTCGCACAGCGGCATGCGACAAAGTAGTGCTTTAAAACGAAGCCAAATGGACTCGTACTCGCATCTCCATAGTATACACCACTTAGGTCTCTTTAGATGGCTCATGGTTCACCTCGCCTTTGTGTTACCCGTCGCTGTTCATTTCTTCGCCTGCTCGGCGGCTATGTTTTTCGGCCTACGACTCGCTAGGGAGATTCTTATTCTCCGTCCAGGCTCCAGTATAGGCTCCTACAGCTCCGATTTAGCCCGATTCGATATAGTACAAAGTGCCGATCCGCACGCGTTTACAGACCGCTTTCTGATGGCTGAAACTGGCATCTCACCGACAATGTCCAGTTTTGATCAACCGAAACCTGTGGTGAAAGAATTTCACGATCCCTTGGCTTGCGAATGGGACTTGGCCTTACACTGGAACTTCACATCTGACGGACCGTTAAACGTGCCGGCGGGAATTGACGATGAGGATGCCGGAGTGAAAATCGGCCGTCACGAAATCCTCATCCGGCCGAACCCGTCTCCGGATCCACGTCAGCTGGTGGTCAGCCAATCGCTGTTGAGACTGCTGCAGGAGAACGAACGGCTGAGATTGCTCGCGCAGGAAGACGGACGGCTCTCACCGTTCAACCCTCGCCGCGTTATAGTCATCACGCCGACCTACAAACGAACCTTCCAGCAGCTGCTCATGCTAGGGTTGATCAACTCACTAAAACGGGTACAAGCGCCGGTGCTGTGGGTGGTGATTGAAGCGACGAAAACGGAAGAAACCGCACGGCTTATCGCGAAGGCTACTATCGGGGACAGCGGGTCGGACAATCCCGAGGTGGAAATCGCGCACCTGGGCGTGGAGGAGGAAATGCCCGAGGATTGGGACGAGCGGATTCTGCTTGAGCAACGGATGCGAGTCGTGGGACTGAGGTGAGTGTGTGGGGAAGAGTTGGATGCGTGGAGAGGGGGTGGGTGTGTGCGGAGAGGGGTTGGGTGTGCGTGGAAAGGGGGTGGGTGTGCGTGGGGTGGGTGTGCGCGGAGAGCGGATGGGTGTGCGCGGAGAGCGGATGGGTGTGCGCGGAGAGTGGGTGGGTGTGGGCGGAGGGGGGGTGGGTGTGCGCGGAGAGGGGGTGGGTGTGCAGAGAGAGAGGGTGGGTGTACGCCGAGAGCGGATGGGTGTGCGCGGAGAGTGGGTGGGTGTGGGCGGAGAGGGGGTGGGTGTGCGCGGAGAGGGGGTGGGTGTGCGCGGAAAGGGGCTGGGTGTGCGCGGAGAGCGGGTGGGTGTGCCGTCATTTGTTGGGGCATGGGGCTTCACTTAGTATTAGCTTATACGTCTTTCACCACCTTATATTTGACAAATGCTGACCTCCGAACCTCTGCCGAACCTCACAGGTACGTTCGGGAGCACAGGCTCGACGGCATCGTGGTCTTCGCAGACGACGGCTCGGTCTTCTCCCCGAAGTTCCTTGCCGAGGCTCAGCGCGTGCCGTGGTTCGGTGCAGGCTCGGTAGGCGTGCTGCTGCCGGTCGGGTTCACCCCGCTTTTTGGGTCGGAGGAGGCGGCGGAGGAGCAGAGCAGTCAGGCGGAAGGGCTTGGGGGGAGCAGGGGGAAGAGCAAGAGGCGCGGGCATGGGCATGGTAGGCGCATTGCGAGCACTGACTCTAATGAAGGTGATAGTAGCGATGGTGCTGGTGGTGGTGAAAGCGGCATCAGTGGCGGCAATGGCGGTGTTCGGATTGCCGAGGCAGCGGCAGCAGCGGGGATAGAGCTAGCGGTGGGAGGGGAAGGATCAGAGAAGGGGCGCAACGATCAAGAAACAGTGGCGGTGCAGGAAGCTGTGGTGCTTGATGGTTCCGCGAAAAGTGGCATTAACGAGGGTGGAGGGGCGGGAGGGGGAGAGAGAGGAGGGGAGATGGGTGGAGGAAAGCAGGGGGTACAGCAAGGAGAGGAGAAGAAACAGGAGGGGCAAGGAGAATGGCAGACGCAGCAGCAAAAGCTGCAGCAGACGCAGGGGAAGCAGGGAGAGGGAGGGAATGGGGTTGGTGATGTGGATGAGCAAAGTAAGATGCGGTTACCACAACGCAGACTGTTACAAGCCAGCAGCCAATCAGCGTCTTCCAACACGTTGAGGGTTGGCAAGCAGACGCGCTATCAGATGCCCGTGCAGGGCCCTGTGTGCAATAACGAGTCTGTTCTTATCGGATGGCACACGGTGGTACACCACCCAGATCGCCTCCTAGCCGGTTTACCAAGTTACAACTCCCTAGGTTCGGAGGGGGAGCAACGGAGGGGCATGCTATGGCATGGGTATGTCTTAAACTCACGGATATTATGGGCCAGAAAAGAGGAGCTTCCTGATTGGGTGCGAGGCTGGGACGAATGGGGTCCTGAGCTGGAACGAGGCCTGGGAGGAGGCTCGGAAGAAAGTTCGGAAGCAGGCTCGGAAGAAGATCCAGAAGGAGGTTCGGTGGCAGGCTCGGGAGCGGAGGGGCGGCTGTTCGACCTGCTGGGTGCGGTGGTGCGGAACGAGAAAGAGTTGCGGCTGATTGGGCAGTGCGGGCGGCGCGTGCTCGTGTGGTGGTGGAGGGCTGAAGCGCGCCAAGACAGCAAGTTCCCTGCAGAGTGAGTGATAATGTTATTGAAGTGTTGGGCCAGGGGGTCAGCCCCTATGTATTCCTCCATTCATACTCCCCTTCCCACCTCCACCTCCGTCCCCACCTCCACCCCCACCTCCACCTCCGTCCCCACCTCCACCCCCACCTCCACCTCCACCCCCACCCCCACCCCCACCCCCACCCCCACCCACGGCCCCATCGCTCCCTATCCATCACCCCTTCCCCCTCTTTCCCACGTCTGCCCATACTGTCTGTACAGCCAACCCCCTGGCCTGACGCCTTTCCTCCTCCCTTCCCACATCCTTTCCCTCATGCTGTCCCACTAGATTATCCTCAGGTGGTTGATTTACCCACATCTGCCTATTACTGCCTCTGTCAAGTCAACTCGTTTGCTCAGACCCCTGCCTCTTTCCCCTCCTTTTTTGACTAATTTTCCACTTCTCTCTCTGCTTCCATAATCATTTGCAGGTGGGTTATATCACCGCAACTACCCATAACTGTCCGTGCCAAGTCAACCCCCTGGCCTGACCCGCTGCCTCCTCCCCCTCCTAGCCCTCCCTCCCCCCCATCCCCGCCTCCCCCGCCAAAAGGCAAAAAGGGTGGTGGGAAGAAGAAAGGTGGAAAGCACAAGAATAATCATTGATAGAGTGCACGCAAGGGGTGTAACATGGTTATCCATAGATTCTTGTTTCTTTTGCATGTTTTAAGGAGGGGAATCTCAGCTTATGAGTTATGCTTTTAGCAGTGCATTTAAACAAGTGCCAGTGCTGACGTGCTGTCAACATTGGTTGTGTTCTGTTTGCTGCTACAGTAATCTAATTCAATTCATAACTGTGTCAGCTGTCGTTCCAGATTAGTTGAGCATGTTCCTTGAGCATTCATTCTTCATATGGTATGTCGATGTGAATGCCTAAATCTGTTGCCTTGGGAATACTGAAATGCTGAACTTTGTAACATTGCAAAATCATGTCACCTACAGTGATTCTCAGGTGCATCCATCTCTCTACTCATAGCATTGATAAAATCCTTGCGGGTAATTATCCCTATCACATCCGTGGGTTTAGGCACCACACACAAATGCCTCAAACCCAGGTTCCGGAACAGCATATACGCCTTTTGCATTCCCATAGCCTCCATAACAATATATGGGGACCGGTTACTGTAGGGGTGTAGATCCACGAACATCCCCTCCTCTTCGGGGGTAATCTCCAGGTCTTGAACTTGGAGTTCCCCGACCAGGGAGGTTGCGAAGTCTTGCAAAATCTCTGCCCTCTGTTCATCGGGGTAAATCGCATGGTTATCACTCGGAGTGGTGCAATTGGTTGCATGGCGGGGCAATGCGGTACAGAAGGCTTTCTTGGAGTGGAGAAGGGCGAGAAGATGCTTCCGAAGAATGAGCCCGTAGAAGGTTGTTCTTTGAGAGGGGGGAGTTTGAGCATCATGTGGGGTAATTACCCTGCCGCTGTTGCTGATTCGCAGCAACCCATCCCCTGTCCTAACAGATTTACTGCTGCTGCTGCTGCTGCTGCTGCTGGTTGAGTTGGTTGTGGTGGTGGTACTAGCATTGGCAGCATTGATTATGCTGCTGTTGCTGCTGCTTCCGCTGCCGCTGCTGCTGTTGCTGCTAATCACGCTCGTGCTACTGCTGCCGCTACTGCTCCTGCTGCTTGCCCCCTCCCCTGCTCTCTCCTCATCGCCTGCTCCTGCCCTCTCCCTTGTGTCCGTGTCCTGTCTTCCACCAAGGAAATCAACCACAGGGAATGCGTTGTGCTGCGTGGCTCGTAGAGTGTCAATGATTCGCCTCACCGTAGTCACACCTTCTAAAGCCACCAGGCAACCCGCACTAGTAGCACCAGAAGCAGCAGCAACACCAGCACTGATAGCACTGCCAGCAGCGGTGGCAGTACCAGCACCAGCCGACACACCAGCAGCAGCACCAGCAGAACCGGCAGAGAAAACACCAGACGCAGCAGCGCCAACAGCATCGCCAGCAGTTGCGCGCCTGCGTGGGGTTCTAGGGGTGAAGGGGGCTGTGCCACGGGGGATGAAAGGACTCGTTCTAGGGCTGACAGGGTTGGTGCAACGGGGACTGGCGGGGGTACTAGAGGTGAGCGGGGTTGTGCCACGGGGGCTGAAAGGATTGGTTCTAGGGCTGACAGGGTTGGCAGGGTTGGTGAGGGTTCCAGAAGGAGTGGTGGGGGATCCCTTTTGAGGCGCCTCAGAAGGAGTGGTGGGGGATCCCTTTTGAGGCGCCTCAGAAGGAGTGGTGGGGGATCTCGGACTGAGGAGAGCAGCAGATGGGGAGGAAACGAGCAAGGGGGTTACCGCAAGGGAGGTAATTGAGGGGGTTACTGCGGGGGTTACCACGAAGGTTACTGTGGGGGATCTTGGGAACGGGGTGGTTTGTTGAAGAGTCATCGAAGGGGAATTGGGTGAGGAGATACCAGCAGCAGCATCAAAACTGCATCCCATCCCTGTCACCAGCTGTTTCTGTTTCTGTTGCTGCTGCTCCTGCTGCTTCTGCTGCTGCTGCTGCTGCTGCTGCTGCTGATGTTTGCTGTCTGCTGTGACTCTGCTGAGGACACCCGCCCCCACCTCCTCACCCTCCTCCCCGTCTTCCTCGAACAAAGTGAAATCCTGATGCGTGCAGTTTTCCGGAAGGTATGGAATCCCTTTCAGGTCAACATGCGAGTCCTCTATATTCCGATTGAACAAATCCCCAACCGATTTCGACACCAGCAGCACCACCATCACCAGCGGCAAAAGTTTCAAGCTGCCCGTGAGCTCCAGCAAGATGACCGAGAGCGAAACGGTCATGCGCATGGAGCCGCCCAAAAAAGACGCGGCGCCGAGGAGCGCGTAGGTGCCTTCCCCCACGCGGTGCGGGCCGAATAGGGTTACCATGACCATGCCGGCCATTCGGCCGTAGGAGGCGCCGCAGAGGATGGAGGGCACGAAGAGACCCGCCGGGACTGCTGTGCCGTATGTGAGTGTGGCGAGAAGAAAGTAGATCGTGAAAGAGAGGAGCAGAGAGGGGTAGCTGGGGGTTGGGGGGGTGGGGAGAGGAGAGCGGGAGGGGGAAAAAGGAGGAGAAAAATACGAATACGGGAGAAGGGTGTGTGAATGTGTGACTGCTGTGCCGTAGGTGAGTGTGGTGAGAAGGAAGCATGTGGTGAAGGAAAGGAGTAGGGAGGAGTAGCTGGGGGTTGGGAGGGCTTTTGAGGCGCCTCAGAAAATTGCGGGATAAGAGACGACTTTTGAGGCGCCTCAGAAGAATGTGGTGAAGGAGTGGAGGAGGGAGGAGTAGCTGGGGGTTGAGGGGGTGGGAAGCGGAGGTAAGTGAGTTTGGGTGTGGGTGTGGGTGTGGGGGTGAGAGAGGAGGGAGTGTGGGTCACATTTGCACCTTCTGTACTGATGTCACAATAACCCCTTTTCTCACATTTCCACTTTTTTCCCACTCACGTGAAAATTTCATCACAATTGCCCCTTTTCTCACATTTCCACCTTTTTCCCACTCACGTGAATATCCCAAACAATCCGGTACCTTTTGCAACTTACATCGCATCAGTACCTTTTGCAACTCACGTCGCATCTGTACCTTTTCCAACTCACGTGAAGATTCCAAACGATCCAGTACGGAACAAATTCCCAATCGCATCGTCGTTGGTTGTAAACACCAGGCTCGCCAGATCATTATACTGCCCGTCCGGGCAGGCAAACGCCTTGTGGTCCCCCGTTCCGACGATGCTCGGGCAGTTGAAAGAACCTTGCGGCAAGTCCCCTCCTTCATCCGGGTCTTGAGGGCAGGGCAGGCAGGAGGCGAGGAAGGGGCCGTAGAAGCGAAGAGCAGAGGTGAGGAGGGAGATGAGGAGGACCTCTAGCACCCTCACCCATGCCCCGTGCCTGGATGGATAGAGGTGGGAGGGAGGAAACACGAGGAAAGGTACTGATGCGTGTGGCTTGAGGTGAGGAGGGGATCGATTCGATTAAGCACTCCGCCCACTATGCCCAGCAGAGCAACCGACACCACCTCCAGCAGCCCAAAGTCGGTTCGGGACTTGTAAAGGGGGGGGGTGTGGTCACTTGTGCATCTCCCTCTTTCTCTCACCTGTGCAGCCTGCTCTTCCTGAAAGCACAGAGCTTCACGTTGAGGTGGTTAGATAACCCGCCTAGCAGCCCTCCGACAATCTCTAGCAGCGCCACCGGCACCACCTCCAGAAGCCCAAAGTCGTGTATGGCTGTCTGCTTGCAAAGACTCTCCCTCTTTCTCTCACCTGTGAAGCTTGCTCTTCCTGAAAGCACACAGCTTCACGTTGAGGTGGTTAAATAACCCGCCGAGCAGCCCTCCGACAATCCCTAGCAGCGCCACCGGCACCACCTCCAGCAGCCCAAAGTCGGTTCGGGACTTGCTTCGGTCGAACAGGATGAAGCCTCGGGACCCGAAGCTGCCGCCGCACCTGTCGCCCTCGCACAGGGAGATGCAGGCTCGGAGCACCATGGCTACGACTGCGTTGGTGAAGAAGATTCGCCAAATGAGGGAGTTCCGCCACCTGTGTGGACAGACCAAGGGGGGATGGGGATGGGGATGGGGGAGAGGACAGCGTGCGTGGGGTGAGGTTGGGAGCACCATGGCCACTACCGCATTGGTGAAGAAGATTCGCCAGATGAGGGAGTTGCGCTACCTGTTTGTGTGTATTGGTAGGGAAGAGGGGAGGATAGGGATGCAGAGGTTAACAGGGGCGAGTTCAAAAGGTGATGCATGCAGGCGAGAAGGCTCGGAGAACCATTTTCCCCGATTGCATTGGTGAAGAAGATTCGCCAGGTGAGGGAGTTGAGCCACCAGTGTGTGTGAGGTGGAAGGGACAAGACGAGAGGATGGGGGTGGAAAGGTTGACAGGGGAGCACCGCCATGTTTACAGCCTCAATCACTCCCAACTGCACTCAATCGCTCCCAATCACTCCCGATGACCAGCAGCAAGCAACCCCCTCTCACCAAGACGTGACTTGCTCGAGGGTGAACAACACACCGCCCACGGGAGCAAGGAACGCAGCAGCCACACCCGAGGCAGCACCACAATCACTACCATGCACCACTCTCAACCACCACCAAACACCACCCATCTCACCAGGAGGTGACTTGCTCGAGGGCGAACAGCGCACCACCCACGGGAGCAAGGAACGCAGCAGCAATTTCCGAGGCAGCACCGCACGTCACCAGGTCTCTCAACCCCCGGTCGCTGTGCACCCACACCGGCGTCCTTAAAGCCCAAATCACTCCCAACCGCCCCCAACCACTCTCAATCACTCTCCGAATCAGCACCAGGCACAACCCCATCTCACCAGGAGGTGACCTGCTCGAGGGCAAAGAGCACACCGCCCACGGGGGAAAGAAACGCAGAAGCCACACCCGAAGCCGCGCCACACGTCACCAAATCTCTTAAACCCCTGTCGCTGTGCACCCACACCGGCGTCCTTAAAGCCTTGATCGACCCGTGATTGAAGAACAGTCCCAAGGAGGCGACGGAGTTAGCTGTCTGGATCCGCGGCTTGCGCGGACGGCTGAGATCGCGGCGGGCGGAGATCCGATGGCTGAGACGGCCCAGGATGCTGGCGATGCATGCCCCACAGTGCACCAGTGGACCCTCTTTGCCCACTGCTAATCCCCCTGCCACTGCTGCTATGCTTCCTAGCGCCTGGCGGGAGATAAGGACGGGGAATGACTGTACATTCTTTAGTCAATCACCCAGGCTGCTGGCGATGCATGCCGCACAGTGCACCAGTGGACCCTCTTTTCCCCCCGCTAGCCCTCCTGCCACTGCTGCTATGCTGCCCAGCGCCTGATTGAAGACGGAAAGGTGATGAGAGGCACCGAATTGACTTTTGAGTCGACTCGAAAGGTGATGAGAGGCACCGAATTGACTTTTGAGTCGACTCGAAAGGTGATGAGAGGCACCGAATTGACTTTTGAGTCGACTCGAAAGGTGATGAGAGGCAACGAATTGACTTTTGAGTCGACTCGAAAGGTGATGAGAGGCACCGAATTGACTTTTGAGTCGACTCGAAAGGTGATGAGAGGCACCGAATTGACTTTTGAGTCGACTCGAAAGGTGATGAGAGGCACCGAATTGACTTTTGAGTCGACTCGAAAGGTGATGAGAGGCACCGAATTGACTTTTGAGTCGACTCGAAAGGTGATGAGAGGCACCGAATTGACTTTTGAGTCGACTCGAAAGGTGATGAGAGGCACCGAATTGACTTTTGAGTCGACTCGAAAGGTGATGAGAGGCACCGAATTTGTCAGGGGGAATGGACGGAGCACGGCTGTCATATTTGAACGAGGAGGGTATCAGCGGAGACGACAGGGGAGCAGAGGAGAGCAGCAGCACGTATGCCAGAATCTAGACTTGGTTGGGATTATCACCTGAGCTTGTTGCGAGTGGCTACTATCAGGTTGAGAAAATTCAGAAATCACTTCTGAGAATTCTCAAGATGGGGAGCAGTAGCATGGATGGGAGCAGTAGCATGGATGGGAGCAGTAGCATGGATGGGAGCAGTAGCATGGTCACGTGAAGTGAGGGTGTTTTTGAGACGTCTGAAAGGGAGGAGGAGAATTCTCAAAAACACCCTCACTTCTGAGAATTCTCAAGATGGGAGCAGTAGCATGGATGTCAGAAACTATACTTGTTGGGATTATCACCGGAACTTGTTGGGAGGGATTGTCACCTTAACGAGGAGCGTCTTGGCGGAGAGGACAGCAGGCGTGCTGACGCCGTTCAGATGCTCCTTCACCTCGGGAATACCGGAGTCAGCTTTTGAGGCGCCTCAAAAGTCAGATACCCCTTCACCTCGGGAATACCGGAGTCAACTTTTGAGAAGTCTCAAAAGGGGCAGGAGCCATGCCATAATATGCTGGGACCATAAATCACCTTGACAATAAGAGTCTTGGCGGAGAGGACAGCAGGCGTGCTGACGCCATTCAGGTACCCCTTCACCTCGGGAATACCGGATCCCACTGCCTCCATCGCTATCCCGTTACAGAGGCACGTTGAAACGAGTACAAGGCCCAGGTTGGTTGCTGCTAGCACCAGGAAGCCTCCTAGGAAGCTGAAGGAAAGAAGGAAGGAGGAAAGAAGAGGGGGGGAGAACGGGGTGGAAGAAGACCAGACTGAACTTTGCACCCCCAATGGCTTCCACAGAAAGGTTGACGAGGAAGGCGAGGAGGTCGGTGCATGTGCCGATGAGCAGCACGAGGATCATACACAGCAAACAGATAGCCACGTGATAATAGAGAGTTCGTGAGACGTCAAAAACTCTCTATTATCACGTGGCCCGTGGTGCATGTGCCGATGAGCAGCACGAGGACCATACACGGCAAACAGAGTCGTAGGAACGAGGAGCACTCTTAGGGGAACAGGAAGAACTCACTTCTGGCCTTTGACGTGGGAGAAGACTAGGCCAAACTTTGCACCACCAATTGCCTCAACTGCAAGGTTGACCAGAAACGCGAGGAGGCCGGTGCATGTGCCTATGAGCAGCACGAGAAGCTCTGCCCTACTTGTACTCCGTTATACGACAAACAGCACCATGCGTAGAACTCACTTCTGGCCTTTGATATGCGAGAAGACGAGACCGAACTTGGCACCGCCAATGGCTTCCACTGAAATGTTGACGAAAAAAGCGAGGAGGCCGGTGCAAATGCCGATGAGCAGCACGAGCAGCCAGCGCAGGGCAGTGTGAAATATTCTGTCGGCTTGCGTCATTGCCTGCCACTGGCCGTGATGCCACTCTGAATCGAGCACCCTGTGAGATGAGAGGAGCATGCACAAATAGAGAGAGAGGTACACAGCGAGAGAGAGGGAGGCAGTGAACAAACGGTGTGAGCAGCACGAGCAGCCATCGCCGAGCGGTGTGGAAGAAACGGTCGGCTTGAGTCATTGCCTGCCACTGGCCATGGTGCCACTCTGCATCGAGAACCCTGAGGGGGGTGGGCAGATGCAAGGAGAGAGGCGCTGAAGAAACAGGAAAGAACGCGTAAACACCATCACCATCACCATCACCATCACCATCACTACCACCATCACCCACATCACCTACTCGTGGTCCAGGCTCTCAAGATTATCGCTTGCTGCCATGATGGCTCACGAATAAGAAGAATCATCCGGCCGGATTCCCTACCTTCTGCACCGCACCAAACCGACCATCACCACCACCACCACCCACATGACCTACTCATAGTCCAGACTCTCGAGGTTGTCACTTGCTGCCATCACACGTCACAAGTGAAGCAAATCATCTGTCTGAATCTACTGACTGCTGAACCGCACCCAACCGACCATCACCACCATTATCAGATAAGAAATCACCTACTCGTAGTCCAGACTCTCGAGGTTGTCACTTGCTGCCGTGACACGTCTCCTGCTGCTCCTCCCCTCGCTCCCACCGCTCCACGCCTTGCCGCCACTGCTCCTCCCACTGCCGCTCCCACCGCCGCCCAATGCACTGTCCAACAAAAACGCATCTTCACACGATGTTAACCCCTCTTCCTCCTCCTTTCCCCCCTTAGTAACTCCCTTCTGTCCAAGCAGGCTTTGAGTGTCAACACTAACATTCCCCTCGAAAATGGAGGGAATTTCCAATGTTGATATTCCGGCTTCCAACCCTTCCAGTCCCTCCAGGTCCTCAGGGTGTTTCTGCCAGACTCCTGTCTCGTGAAAACCGTCAGTTTGGATAACTTCAGATTTTGCAGGGTCGTCGTCAAGTTGAAGGAAACCGTCGGAATGAACGGCTAGCCGTCGGGATTCTTCTGACAGAAGTGGCTGCTCGACGTCCTCAGTTATCTCGGCCGCCGATGCTCTGGTAACCATGACGACTATGACTTTCAAGCGGGGCGCGCCGCGCCGCTAACAATGCTTCAGCGCGCGTAAAACGGAAAACGGCGCGCGCTTATAATGCTTCAGCGCGCAGAAACCCCCCACCGCGGAAATCGGCGCGCGCTTCTAATGCTCTAACGCGGGGCTATCCGCGACGGAAAAGGGGCACGCGCGAGAAACGCTTAAACGCGCGGCGATCCGCGATAGGAACGGCCGAGTCCAGCCACGATCGATAAGCCTGTCCCGTGAGTCACTGTGTTGGTGGTTGGTTGCCGACCGAGCCACAGGACCGCCGTGTTTCCGTTAGCGCCACTAACAGTGTTCAACACCAAGTTAGCGTTCCCGCTCAGAACGCGCGCAGCCGTTTTCCGTCGCCTTCGGCAGCATCTTGAAGGATTTGATAAACGCACTGAACGACGACGATCAGCGCTCAATCACCCTCTCGCGATTGCTACTAGTAACCTCGCGGACTCGCAAAGAGGCGACGACGAGTCGAGTCGGACGAGAACGTCACGGCGATGATATTGATCGTGGCGGCGCGTCTGGATTCCGGAACTGTGCAGAAAACGTCAAGCCACGTGGCGACGTTAGCAACTTTGAAATCGTTGTCGTCATTGGTGACGATCGCCGGCCGGACTGACGGACGGACAGTGAACGGCGCGAACGAGGAGAGAGGCGAAGAGAAAGGCGCAGCAGCAAAGCCCCCGGACCCGGACCGGACGGGCTCATCACCATACAGTACACTGTACGGATGACGACGAGGGGATGGATGGATCGTCTATCATACGCACGCACCGCACGCGTTCAATCGCTTCGAATTCTCCCATCCATTGCATCCTACCCTCCCCAATGCCACCCCCACCATGGTGACGTCACGTCATCATCCCCGGCAGCATCCATGGAGCGGAGCGCAGAAATCCAGCCGCCGCAGAGACGCCGCACCTGCCGCTTCTTGGGAATTGTGGACGGGCAGGATATGCTGCCTTGCGCGCTGCGAATGAAGGAAACGCGCGACGGGGAAGAGTCCCTGGGGTGGGGAGACAGCGGAAATTGGTTTCCGCAGTTCCTGGGTCGCGCAAACCTAAGCTTTGCAGATTTCCTGAACTGGCGCAAACAGTTATTTCCGCAACCCCTTGTCGCACAATTTTCTGCGCTGGCGGAATCCCTCCCTGCCTGCTTTCCGCAGCCCCGTACGCAACTTCTGGTTCGGGGGGCGGGAGCAGGGCTGACGATTCAAGGGCAAATGCCCTTAATGCCCTGAACATTAAGGGTTGGGTTCGGCCCAGCTTCCAAATTTTAAGGGTTGGATTTGAGGGCAGCCCGTCCCCGTTAAGTGCTGGTTGTGGGCCTAACCCGGATTTCAAGTGCAGATCCCGCGGCTAGCCCTTATCGTCCCATACTAATACCTCCCTCCCTTCCATTCCCTCACCAGTCCACTCGCCTCCTCCCAGCCATTCCCCTACTTTTCCCATCCCTGTCAAATCCATCGACATGTTTCGTACCTCAGCCTATTGCTTAGCTGGCTCTTAGTAGTTTGCCTAAGATAACGGACCCGAAGAGATGTGGGGTTTCCTTGGCGAAAGTGCAAAAAAGTTGCTAGCCCTGATTTCAAGTGCCAGGTTTGCTCTCAGCCCGTAAATTTCAGGGCAACTTTTGGGGCACCTCAGCCTCTCAAGTTCTGGCTCCAAACCAATCGACAGCCCTGGGCGGGAGGGGAGGACCTGGGGAAGGAAGCGCCCCGAAAAGACGTGCGACTCGTCTGGATGCAACGGAAGGGGCTTGATGACTGGATGCTGCGCAGAGAGGAGCTCATTAGACTGAGATATCCGACACAGCTAGACCGACACAATACAAACGTTTACACACTAACAGCAATGCGAGTATGGCAGATAACTTCTGCAAATCATACGATACCAACATTTTCGGGGAACTTGGTCCCCAGACCTATCAAGTCTGCTGCTCCTGACTCAATCATGGAGACTGCTACCAGAACCATTTCAGCCGTATCTTGCTGCACTTAACGGTACCCATAAACAATTAATCCCAAAACTTCCACCACCCCACCCAAAATACCGTACCCCATAGCAACAGCACCCATAATTGCAGCAAAAGCTGCCCCGCCATTTCATTGTGATTGTCACCAATATTGCTTATCGACGTCTTGCCGTTGGTCTCTTGGCTTTGACCACTCTCCTCCCAGGAGTGGGTGCACCTGCTCCCATCGAGAACCCACCACCACCAGCAGGAGCCCCACCTCCAACGCCACCACCACCAGCACCAGCACCAAACACCATAGACGGAGCAGCAAACCCACCACTCCCACCACTCCCCGCTGGCGACGGGGAAGCAGCAGCACCACCGAACGAAAACGGGGCAGCGCCCGGGGCGGCACCTCCAGCTGCGGGCTGCCCAAACGCAAAAGGATTAGCTCCTGCCGGGGACGGCGAGGCTCCGAAAACGACAGGAGTGGAAACAGCCGTTGCCATGCCACCTGGTTCCATGGACATTGTATTCTGTTGCATCCCACCAAAGGGGCTGCTGCTCCCAGTGGCTCCTGGGAAGCCGGAGGCTGCACCAAAGGGAGCAGCGGAGGCAGCAGGAGCAGGGGTAGATCCAAATGCGAAGGCGCCAGGAGCAGCAGAGGGAGAGGGGGTGGAGCCGAAGGCAAATGGATTTGCACCTGCTGCTGCTCCTGCCGCTGCAGGTGCCCCTGGTGCTGCTGCTCCTCCTCCCCCTCCAAAGGTGAAGGGTGCGGCTGCTGTTGCTCCTCCTCCTCCTGCTGCTGGGCCTGCTGGGGCCCCGAAGGAGAATGGAGCAGGAGAGGAGGCAGGCTGGGAGGCGGCAAAACCAAACGGCGACGCTGCTGGTGCAGATGCTGCTGCCGGAGCTCCTGGTGCGGCAGCGCCGAACGTGAACCCAGGTGCGGCGGCAGGTCCGGAAGAAGCAGCGGAAAATCCAAAAACAGGCGCGGGAGACGAGGAAGCAGCAGCAGCAGGGGTGGTAGAGGCAGAGGGGGTTGATGATGCCGTAGCGCCAAAGGCAAAGCCAGTAGCGGCACCAGTACTTGCGGCAGCAGGGGCACCGAAAACAGGTGCTGGCGTGGTGGATGGGGTGCCAAAGAGCGGAGCTGTAGCAGCAGCTGTTGACAAGCCGAAAGCTGGGGTAGATGATCCGAAAGTAGGCGCGGAGGATCCAAAAGCAGGGGCGGATGAACCAGAGAATGTGCCAAACGCTGGGGTGGAAGCAGCACCAAAGGCAGGAGAGGATGCAGCACCAAAGGCAGGGGAGGATGCAGCACCAAAGGCAGGGGAGGATGATGGAGCGCCAAACACAGGACCTGCAGCAGTGGTGCCAAAGGCCGGGGCAGCAGCAGACGATCCGAAAGCAGGAGCTGCAGCAGTGGCGGAAGCAGTGGTGGTAGAAGCAGCACCAGAGCCAAAGGCAGGAGTAGAGCCGAATGCCCCAAAGGAAGGAGCAGGCTGACTGCCAAAAGTGGTAGCAGCGGCAGTGGTGGTGGTGGGGGCAGCAGCAGGAGCAGCAGCAGAGCCGAAGGCTGGAGTGGTGGTGGTGGCTGCAGGTGCTGCTGATGCGGCAGCTGCAGCAGTGGAAGAGCCACCAAACGCTGGAGCCGAGGCGAGGCCGGAGGACGGGGCGGTCGCAGTAAGGCCAAAGGATGGGGCAGTTGTGGTGCCGAAAGTAGGGGCACTTGAAGTGGCGAAAGAAGGGGCGGTTGTGGTGATGCCTGTTGATGGGGTGGTTGTGGCCCCACCGAAGGACGGTGCAGCGAGACCGAAGGAAGGGGTAGAAGCGGTGGCAAAACCAGTGGCTGTGGCTGTAGCTGTGGCAGTAGCTGTGGCTGTGGCGGCAGAGCTTGGGGTAGAAGCAGCTGCAAGGGGGGAAGATGGGCTGAGGCCGAATGTCGGTGCTGATCCCGAGCCAAAGGCAGGTGCGGTTGATCCCGAGCCGAAGACCGGTGCGGTGGATGCCGAACCAAAGGCAGGTGCAGAAGGAGTGGTGGTGGTTGTGGTGGCAGGGGCAGAGGCTTGAGGAGCAGCAGAAGCAGCACCGAAGAGTGGAGCTGCGGCTTCTGAGGGAGAGGAGGACCCTGTCAATTGGGGGGAAAAGAAAAAGAAAAGGAAAAAGAAAAAGAAAAAACAAATAATTAGGCAAGAGGAAGATGGGGAGAGGAGAGGTGGAGGGAGGGGGGAGAGGGAGAATGGGAGATGGAGAGAAGAGAGAGAGGAGAGGGAAATGGAGATGGAGGCGATGAGAGAGAGGGCAAGAGAAGGGGTAGGGGAAACTCGGAAATTCCGAGACAGCAAGAAGCAAGCAGCAAGGAGCAAGGAGCAAGCAGTAAGGAGCAAGGAGCAAGCAGTAAGGAGCAAGGAGCAAGCAGCAAGGAGCAAGCAGTAAGGAGCAAGGAGCAAGCAGTAAGGAGCAAGGAGCAAGCAGTAAGGAGCAAGCAGTAAGGAGCAAGCACACACCTGCGGGCGGCTTTCCAAAGCCAAAGAGGGAAGGAGGTGAACCACCCGACTCCCCTCCCACAGGCGACGACGACACCCTCCGCTTCCTCCTCGGCTCTGCCTCCTCCTCCTCCTCGCCTCCTCCCCTCCTCCCCATATCACCCCCCTCCTCTCCTCCCCTTCTCCCCCTATCCCCCCCATCACCGCCACCAAAAGCAGTAGCCGCACCTGCATCCTTTCCAGCAGCTGGAGCGGCGGCTGCTGGCTTAAAGCCAAACAGTGCTGCCCCTGCTGCGGCTGGTGCTGCCCCTAAAGCCGCTCCTCCTCCTCCTCCTGCTGCTGCTGCTGCTGCTGCTGCTGCAGGAGAAGCTTCCGCAGCTGCTGGTTTGATGCCGAACAATGGTCCTGCCGTTGGGGAAGCTCCTGTGAGTGCAGGTGCTGGTGCTGCTGCGGATTGAGAAGCAGTGGCAGGGGGGACGGAGGGTGTGGGGGAAATGCCAAAGGAAGGAGCACTGGCAGAGGTAGCGGCAGCAGGGGCAGGGGCAGGGGCAGGAGCAGGGACAGGGGCAGCAGGGGTAGAAGACCCAAAGAGAGAGGTTGTGGCAGCAGCAGAGGAGCCAAAGGAAGGGGCCTTGAACCCAGACGCACCAAAGGACGACGCTCCTGCTGCTGCTGCTGCTGCTGCTGCTGCTGCTGTTGCTGCTGGTGCTGCCACAGCTGCTGCTGCTGCGGGTGGTGCTGTGGGTTTGCCTTGGGAGGTGTCTGGAGATGCTGGCTTTGCAGGGGAGGGTTGTGGCGCGAGAGTTGCTGCATGCGCTGCTGAGCCAAAGAAACTGGAATGGGGCAAGGGAGGGGCAGGGCGGGCATGGGGGAGCAGGGGGAGTGGAAAGAGGTACAACGGAAAAGAGTGAGAAGGGGTGTCTAGTGATGCTGGCTTTGCAGGCGTGGGTTGCGGCGCGAGAGTTGCTGCATGCGCTGCTGAGCCAAAGAAACTGGAATGGGGCAAGAGAGGGGCAGGGCGGGCATGGGGGAGCAGGGGGAGTGGAAAGAGGTACAACGGAAAAGAGTGAGAAGGGGTGTCTAGTGATGCTGGCTTTGCAGGCGTGGGTTGCGGCGCGAGAGTTGCTGCATGCGCTGCTGAGCCAAAGAAACTGGAATGGGGCGAGGGAGGGGTGGGCATGGGAGGGCAGAGCGGGCGAAAAAAAAAGCGCAACGGAAACGCGGGATGAGCAGTGAAGTTTAAAATAAAATAAAATAAAATGGGGAAATGGGGGAGTTGACAACGAAGCATTATCTTTCAATCATGTGCACCCCTCCTTACCCTACTGCACCCACGCCATTCCCACACAGTCCCACACCCCTCCTCCAACTCACCTTCCAGTGGTAGCACCCGTGCTCTTTTCCTTGCCTCTATCCCCCTTGCTCTGCTCCTCGCCCTTCTCCCCCTCGCGCTGCTGCCCGCCGGTCACAGGAGCGGCAGAAGCAGCGTCCGTTCCTGTTTTAGCTGCCTCTCTATCGGCCGCCTTGCTGCCTCCTGCTCCTGTTGCTGCTGTTGCACCTGTTGCTCCTGCTGCTGCTCCTCCTCCTCCCGCTGCTGCTGCGTCCTGGCTTGGCCTGTCCTCCTCGTCCTCCTGTGTGCCAACGAACGTGGGGGGCAATGACACCAGTTAACACACGTTATCACAAGACTCAAGTATAGGGAGTAAGAGGGAAATGAAAGCACAGCCGGAGAAAAATGGTGGCCATTCTGTCTGCGAGCTTTAACGACGAGTTCTATTCGTTAGCATTTGCAAACCGCTAATATCCCATCCAAACCCTTCCAAACCCTTCCAAACTCTCCAAACCCATTCAGACCCATCCGAAAATACTCACCTCGAAAACAGACATTCTGAACCCATGGCGGCCTCTCCTCGTCCCCTGCCCACCATCCTCCTTCCCACCATCCACCAACGCACCTCCCCCTAAACGCCTCGCCTCCCCCCCCTCCTCTCCCCTCGCCCCCTCCTTCTCCCTCCCCAGCCCATCGCCTCTCTGCTCCTGCTGCTCCTGTTGCTTTTGTCTCTGCTGTCCCTGTTGTTGCTGTTGCTGCTGCTGCTGCTGCAACTGCTGCTCGTTTTCTCTGCTTCTTGCCCCATTCTCCCCTCCCTCCCCACCGCTCTCCCCCTCAACAACCTTCTCTTTCCCCTTCAATCTCTGCAACTCACTACCCCCACTCACTCTCCTCCTTTCCCCTGACCGACCAAAACCCTCCGCAGCAGGCAAAGCCCCAGCCATCCGATCCAACGTGTCCAGGATTTTCCGGGCAGATTGAGCTGACCGGGAAGGAACGCTTGCTAAGATTTGGTCCCTCTTTAACTGCTGCAACAGCTGCTGCTGTTGCAGAGGCAACCAGTCGTCTCTATCCCCTTCTCTAAGCCTCCTTAAAGCCCTCCCTCTTCCCATCCTCCTGCTCCACCCTCCCTCTTCCTCATCCTCCTCCCCCTCCGCTGCTGCTGCCAGCACTGCTGGCGAAAACGACACTCTCCTCTGGCGAGTCTGGTTACCAGTCCCACCGTTACGCAGCCCTCCTGCGCTTGGAACGATGCTGCCCCTGCGCCAATGAGGAACAGCAGAGGGGCTTACAAGGGGTACAGCACCCCAAGGGCTTGCGCTGGGTGGGCTGGGTTCATGCAGTTGTGCGTTGCTGCGCTTGCGAGACTGCCAAATGGCAACAGACGTGTTGAGGGGCAGCGAGAAAGAGACAGTTAAAACCACTGATTTTTGCAACACGTTAAGAAAGAAAGAACTCTGGTTCTGCCAGACATGCGGCGATGAATGTTGAGAGTGCAGCAACGAGATCGCTCCACTCATCTCCCCTCCTTTCCTTCCCTTTCCTCTCCTTTCCATGGGATGACGTGACAGCCTTACCTTGGTCGCTGGCGTCAGCTGGGTCTGGTACGGCGTCCACGCTCGAAGGCTCACTCCCTGCCACGGACGGAATCACAAGGCAATGAGAAGGGTGGGGTGGGTTGTTGGGGGAAGAGGGGGGAGGGGGGAGGGGGAGAGGCGGGGTGGTTTGGGGGTGGGGTTGGTTTCAGGAGACAGTCTTACAGTCGTAGGAAAGCCGTTGCCACGTCTACAGGCAACAATTTCACTAACCTCACTCACCCACCCACTCACTCACCTTCTCAGCCGCTTCTGCTGCTACTGGTGCCGGTGGTGGTGTTTTTGCTGCAGGAAAAGCGGCCATACTGGGTCGCATGAACGCCCTCGCGACGTCAACAGGCGATACGTTCATTCCATCGCCATCAGCACCTCCAGAAATGTCATCAAGTGTCACCCGAGGCGTAACCTGAGGTGTAACCCGAGACGTAACCCGAGGCGTAACCCGAGGTGCAACGTGCACAGTGTTAGCTGCATTCTCCCGCCCTCTCATCCCATCTGCCGCCACCCAACTGCCACTGCCGCCAGTCTTCCTTCTCTTCCCCGCAGATGCTTCCACCCTCCCTTCTTGCCCCTCGTCCTCTTCCTGCCGCCTCCCCTCCCCTTCCTCTTCCTCTTCCCCTTCCCCATCCTCGTTCCCCTCTTCCTTCTCCTCCTGCTTGCCCTCTGTCCTCTCTGCTTCGCCACTCGCCACGTGTTGACGCAGCAGCTCGTTCAGCCGCTGAAACTCGCGCCTGTAGGGTAGGGCCGTGACACGTCAGCATGGCGGGACCAACAAGGGATTAATCAGATGCGAGGGGTTCGGATTGGAGCTTTAAAGGTGGAACGCAAGAACGCGTATAGTAAGATACGCCGCGAGCAGAACCGGGAGGATAGAGAACTAGAAACGGTTTAAAAAAACCGAAAGTTCCCAGTGAAGGTGATTGGTTGGCACATTGTCAATGACCTGCGGATGTGACGAATGACGAAAAGAGGGCCACGAGTTTACGATAGACGAACGATACGTGTTACCATCAAAGAAATCAGGTTACCAACAGCGAAAGCGATGTCTCACGTCTCAGCAGCTGCTCGACCTCCGACATCACCACGGCCTCGTTCCCATGTTTCCCGTACGATGTATTCGGAATATAACCTACCCTAAAGATTAAGAATAACATGCGAATCTGCAACATAACGTACAGCGATAACGGCGTCCCTCGTCTCAGAAGCTGCTCAACCTCCGTCAACACTGCGCCTTCCTCCCTCTGCTGCTTCCCGTTCGCTCCTCCCGCCTGTCGATCCCGGATATTACCAGCAGCACCAGCAGCATTCGCTCCCTCCGCGGGCTCGCTGCTGGTTGCGCCGTCAGACGGTCGCTTGTCCAACACGCCTTGTCCCTCGCCTTGCGTGTTACGCCGGTTACCCTCTGGACAAAATATTGGAAAAATATATGCATTATAGGAGATTTATCACAAGGCGAGATCGCTAACTTCACGCTTCTACACGGCGACTCGATACTGGTCTGGGCTGTCAAGCAACTGCAGACGCGGTTCAAGAGTTTGTAAACCCTATAATATGCGTAAAGACGGTGAACCGGATCGACTCGAGAGGTAAACCTATCGACTCTTCCGCGTGAAATAACTAAACTTAAATCAGACCACGGGAAACGCATCGTCGAACACCACGGCATTGGTGCGATTTCGCTTAATGAACATCCGAGATTCAAGATCCGTGATTGAATACCTCGCGAGCTCCAAGGCCATCTGACGAGCGATCCAATCGAATTCCGCCACGAGCCAAACCAGCCGCTTCCCGCGCTTCCCACCCCGTCTTGCTTCGGCTCATCCCTCCTTTCACCATTCCTCCCCGGCGCTTCTAGCAACGCGTCTGCGCGGCCTTGGGATTCCCCCGGAGATCCCGCTGCCGACGTGGCAGTTCGAATTGCTGCTGCAGCGTAGCCAGCGGCAGCGTGCCTTCCGGAAGTAGGTCTCGCGTAAGGCGCGGACGAGCGACTCGCATGGCGCTTCCCATGAGAGGCTTTCCCTCCTTTGCCGCTACCGTCAACGCCAACCCATCCGTTCTCGCTATAACCACCTTCGACCGCTTGCGAGCGACGGTACGGAAAGTCGCCGTTTAAGGCAGCTAGCGGAACCGACTCCATCCTGGCAGACGAATCTATACAGCTAGGTAACTCTAGAGATACCCAGCTCCGAGTGCCTTCGGAATCAGGGAAAGAGAGAAAGAAGAGGATATGGGACTAGTCTTGGATCAATCGGAGAGACCAGTTCTGGATGGACCTGTATGGGCCTAAGAGTGAGGTGAACTCTTGTGTGGGATGGGATGGAATGGGACGAGATGGGATGGGATGGGATGGGATGAGATGGGATGGGATGGGATGGGATGGGTTTGGTAGGGATGGGTTGTTGTGTGCAGAAATAAGGATGGATGAGGCAAGTGTGCTTGCGATGGCTTGTGGAGATCTCGGTGGAGGGTTTCTCTGGTGGTTGGCTTGTGGGAGAGAAATTTCGGTGCGGGCAGTTCAAGAAACCAAAATCGGTATTGAGTTAGGCTTTACTGGAAGCTAGAATCAGCTAAACAGTATTCTTTGTTTCTGTTTTCCTACTTTTTTCTCGTTTCGGAGAATTTTGGAAGTTCCAACTGGGTGCAAGGGCAGTCCGGTCTGGACTGTCAGGTCAGGGCAAAGGCTTCCCACCTTGCTGGACGCGAAAGTTGGCGATTTCGCGGCGAAAGATATCTGGCCACGAAACCTCTGACGACAAGTCGTCGAGAAAATCTGCGACTGAGAAATCCGCGTTATTCTACAACACTTCTCTGAGATAGCTCACTGTATTATCAGATTCTGACTATATCGAGATCTGTTGTGACTCTAACAGTTTGTATTTGCAAATTCAAATGCGCTTCTGGGTTCCCGCCAAAAACAGCTCCCAGGGTTTCCTGGGGAGTGTATTGTCCGTTCCACTAGCCAGCCACTTCGTGCCGCTGCTTCCATTCCATCCGTCCTCTGGGCTCTGACATGACAATTGATTATATCCTGCCGTTTCGCTGCTCCTGACAACTAGGAAGGCTTCACTCTTGCGATTATTAGCTCGTGCGCCTGCTGTGAAAAAAAAAAAAATATATATATATATATATATATACCATTGGCGTCCGTTCAACCCACCTTCAGTTCCGGAATCTAAACTCTTTACAGTGACGGCGTGCAGCTTATATTTTAAGCTGTGTGCCCCTCATTTCTGACTCGGCTAATCTGCAACTTGTGCTCTAAATCAATGGGTAGTCCGATATTATCCGACGAGAACATGACTGACCATTCCGAACCTCCATCGAAAGTTGAAGATACAGACCCTGCTGTCGCGGCCGAGCCGCAAGATACCAAACAGTCCGCCGCCGAGTCGTGTTTCAGCACGGACCTACTAAGAATCTACTATCGCCGCCTCTTCCCCTACGCAGACATGGCTCGCTGGCTCTCGTACTGCAACGACAGGAAACTTCCCGGAACCGACGCGTCGTATCTCCAGCGTCGCGAGTTTTCGTTCACTCTAGAGCACGACATCTACGTGCGATACCAGTCGTTCCGCGACGCCGCGGACATGGAAGCCGCGATCCGCGATAAGAACCCGCATAAGATCGACATAGGAGCCGTCTACAACGTCGACGTACGTAAGACTCGCCGTTACTTTTTCAGCGCGCTGTAAAATTTTCGAATTGCGTGTGACTTTCACCGTGCCTGAGAATTTATCAAGGATTACTCCCTCGCAATTGCAGCGCGAAAGACGAGCGGTGTATGAAGGGTGCGAAAAGGAGAAGGCGTGTTCGCTTCTTTATGCGATATAATCATTCCTCCTTGTTATCATCTCTTCTTTCCATATGCATATGGTAACAGCCGGCGAGACGAGCGGCGTATCAGGGAATCGGGTCGGAGAGCGCGTTCGCACCTGTGGAACGGGAGCTTGTGTTCGACATTGTAAGTTGCCACTTCTCGTATTCGTGCATTTCATAGTAACGACGCCTTTTTCGTGTTTCTTACACTGTAAGTTGCCACTTTCCGTATTTGCGCCTTTCACAATACCGATGACATCTCCTCTCTATATTCTCGTCACCAACAATAAGCGTCCTAAGCGACCACAAGGATGGTCCAACTTGCTGAACCGGGGAAAGAGTCTGTGTTGATTGCCGATCACTTATGACTTGGATTGTATGAATGGATTTTGTTGTATGCAGGAAATAAGCGACTATAATGATATGCGAATCTCCGGCTCGATGCGTTAGTGTGCACCAAATGCTGGCTACCCATGTCGAACATTGACTGTACTTTATCCTTTTCTGCCTCACTCGTTACAGGATATAAGCGACTACGACGATGTGCGAACTTGCTGCTCAGGAGCGTCGGTGTGCACAAAATGCTGGCCGCTTATGACAGCTGCCATTAAAGTCGTCGACACTGCCCTTAGAGGTATCTTCTTTCTTCTATGCACTTTCCTTCTTTTGTACAATGAGCATTTTCCTCTGGTCTCTTCTCATAATGTGCCCTCCCTGGTTCCCTCTCTCCGTCCCGCTTCCTCACTGTGCATGCCCCTGCTCACCAAGTACCCGCCAGAGGACTTTGGATTCGAGCACATCTTGTGGGTGTTCATTCACTGGCAGGAGTGTTGGGCGCACTTTTCAAGGAAGTATTCGCTCTCTTTCTCGCACTTTCCCTCCCCACTGGCTTTCTTCCCACCCGCCAGAGGATTTTGGTTTCGAGCACATTTTGTGGGTGTTCAGTGGCAGACGAGGCGTGCATTGCTGGGTGTGCGACAGGCGAGCAAGGAGGTAAGGGGGGGTTGGTGCTTCTTATTTCTTCTGAGCCCGCTTGACGAAAAAGCGTGCATTGCTAGGTGTGTGACAGACGAGCAAGGAGGGGAGGGGGGGTTAATGCATAGATATCTTTCACGGATGGAAAAGGTATAGCATTGCATTAGGCTGGGCAGTGAGAGGACAGATGGTTACCCCTTTATCGGCGTGGGGAAAGTTGGTGGCAGGGAAAATCTTGATATGGAAAGTTGGTGATAGGAAAGTTGGTCATCCTCATCCCCTCTTCCCCTCCTCCTCACCCCCATCCCCAACCCTCGTCAGGCTAACCAATGAGCAACGGTCTGCAGTGGCTGAATATTTCCGAGTGTATAAGGTATTTGGGATGTCCAACATATGATCACTCGTGCACTTGTAACACCATTGGCAGGGAACTGCTATTCGAGGCTAAAAATGTTTTTTTCATATTATGTGCATAGATGAAGTCGACTAAAGTGCTACTAACAGCATCAAGTTGACTTTTGAGTTGACTCAAAAGTCAACTTAATAAAGTTGACTCAAAGACCCACGTTCTACTAACACCATCAACACCACGCTAACACCATATTAACACGATGTGCAGGGAACTGAAGCCAATGGAAGCAAGGTGTCATTCTCGGGTGCAGCTCTCCATCCCTCCCTCATGTGAGCAAATTATCTTCCTGTGAGAAAGTGAATTCTTTCTGTGTGTAGCATATGGCCTTTCAACACGATCAACGTTCTTTTCTGTAGGTCTTTTTTCATTTTGAGATGTTTTTGTTCCTGTTACGTCACATGTGACGGTCTACCTTGTGTTTTCGTTCGACTCGCCCTTACTGTTCAGGAGGGCATACGACCAAGTATTGCGGGGCACATTCGAGGTTGACGTGCTGACCAATCAAGAGCTCCTTCCGGGATGCTTTGAACCACACTGAACCGCACTACCACCATCCGTTTCGTGCCCTGGCTGCCCCCATCAGGAGAACATACGACGAAGTATTGCGGGGCACATTCGAGAGTGACGTGCTGCCAAACCAAGAGCTGCTTCTGGGATGCATTGAACCGCACTCAACCTCCTTCCACTCCTTGCTCCCGCCCTGTCTTCCCCTTTCAGGAGGGCATACGACCAAGTATTGCGGGGCACATTCGAGGGCGACGTGCTGCCAAACCAAGAGCTGCTAAGCCAACCAGACACGTGGAAGAGGGTGCTGAATCAACTGCCAGACCAAGGTGAGTCAAAGTGCGGCTTATGCACAAGGTGCACAAGGTGCGATTCAGAAGGGGGGTCGCCAAAGCATTAGCTGCTGAGCCAACCAGACACATGGAAGAGGGTGCTGAATCAACTGAAAAAAAGCAATACTCTCAAAAGGTGCGATCAAGAAATGGGGCTTCTCAATCAAGAGCTGCTCGGCCAATCAGACACGTGGAAAAGGGTGCTATTTCAGCTGCCTGACCGAGGTGCGATCGAGTGTTGTGAGGCCGATGTATGGTCAAGTGCTGGTGTGCAAAGTGCAGTCAAGAGGGTGACATGCCAATGTCAAGGTGCTGTGTAATCCAAGAGGGGTTGCCCAACCAAGGGCTGCTGAGCCTACCAGACACATGCAAGAGGGTGCTGAATCAACTTCCCGACCAAGGTGGGATTTACGGTGCAGGGCCAAATGCTGGTGCAGAAGGTGCTATTAAGAAAGGGGGCTGCCCAACCAAGGGCTGCTGAGCCTACCAGACACGTGCAAGAGGGTGCTGAATCAACTTCCCGACCAAGGTGGGATTTACGGTGCAGGGCCAAATGCTGGTGCAGAAGGTGCTATTAAGAAAGGGGGCTGCCCAACCAAGGGCTGCTGAGCCTACCAGACACGTGCAAGAGGGTGCTGAATCAACTTCCCGACCAAGGTCAGTCAAAGTGAGGATTCGGAATCTGCCAGACACTGGTGCACAAGGTGCAAAGTAAAAGGGCCAATGGGGAACTTTTACCACTCAACTCATGCCCCCTATGCCCTTCTTGCGACCATCCCCCTTTCGGCCCATCCTCCGCCCCTATGCCCCTCTCCCCCCTCCCGTCCCCTTCCCCCACTCCCCCCTCCCGTCCCCCTCTCCCGCTCCCCTCCCCCCCCCTCTCCACTATGTGCAGAGCTGCAGGATCGGATGGATGCCACGTGGCGCAGCGACAGCAGGCGTGCGTCAGCAGCTGCTGACGTCAACCTGTACAGGTGGCAGCAGTTGGAGGCCACCACACGAGCTGCGGCTAAGAAGGTAAGCACTACCCTCCCTCCCTCAGTCATAACCTTTGCTAAGAAGGTAAGCACTACCCTCCCTCCCTCAGTCATAACCTTTGCTAAGAAGGTAAGCACCTCCCTCAGTTGAACCTTAGATTGAGCTGTTACAAAGGTAAACTCCTCCCTCTCAGTTGTACCCTATATTGGGCTGCTGCAGAAGTAACACCTCTTGCAGTTGTTCTCCCATAATGGAAATTGCACTTGCCATGTGCCCCTGTGTCTTCCCACCCCTCTCTCTCCCTTCCCCCCTTTCAGAATGTAACCCTAAGGAAGGCTGTAGAGGAGATAGTGTTTGCCTTCACATACCCTCGCCTCGATCTGGAGGTGGGTGGATGTGTGGGGTTGGGTGGGTGTGTGTCAGATAACCTAGAGGTGGAGTTTGTGTTTGCATCTATGTCTTGCTTCTTACAGTTTTCGAGGCGCAAGAATTATTACTTTTTCCTCAAAGTTGTTGAATCGACTCTGCTTTTGAGTCGACTCAAAAGCTCGCCACGCCTGATTTCTCTACGCCTCTGTCTCTATACGTCTTTGTCTCTGTGCCACTCTGTCTCTGTGCCACTCTGTCTCTGTGCCACTCTGTCTCTGTGCCACTCTGTCTCTGTGCCACTCTGTCTCTGTGCCACTCTGTCTCTGTGCCACTCTGCCTCTCTGTCTCTCTGCCTCTCTGTCTCTCTGTCTCTCTGTTCCTGTGCCTCTCTGTCTCTCTGCCTCTCTGCCTCTCTGTCTCTCTGTCTCTCCGTCTCTCTGTCTCTCTGTCTCTCTGCCTCTCTGTCTCTGTGCCTCTCTGTCTCTCTGTCTCTCTGTCTCTCTGTCTCTCTGCCTCTCTGTCTCTCTGCCTCTCTGTCTCTGTGCCTCTCTGCCTCTCTGTCTCTCTGTCTCTCTGCCTCTCTGTCTCTCTCTGTTCCTCACAGGTCTCAAAGCACATGAACCATTTGCTCAAGGCCCCGTTCTGCGTGCACCCAAAGACAGGTGACTTTCGTGCCCCTCCTGTGATGCTGCCACTTGTTGAGCGGACAGGTGAACTTCCACATGACATGCACCATTCATTAAAAGCACAGTTCTGCATGCACCATTCATTAAAAGCACAGTTCTGCATGCACCATTCATTAAAAGCACGGTTCTGCATGCACCATTCATTAAAAGCACGGCTATGCGTGCACCATTCATTAAAAGCACGGTTCTGCATGCACCATCCATTAAAAGCACGGATCTGCATGCACCATTCATCAAAATCACGGTTCTGCATGCACCATTCATTAAAAGCACGGTTCTGCATGCACCATTCATCAAAAGCACAATTCTGCATCCTCCATTCATCAAAAGCACAGTAATGCATGCTTCATTCATTAAAAGCACGGTTCTGCATGCACCTGAAAACAGTGAGCTGCTCTCTGCCTGCGTCTGCTTTGGTTTCCGCATCCTCCTGACTCCTGTTTCTTGCTCACCTTCCGGGTGCTCTATTTCTGGTGCTGTGTGTGTGGTCATCTCCCTTATCACTCCCTTCTCACTCCCTTCTCACTCCCTTCTCACTCCCTTCTCACTCCCCTCTCACTCCCTTCTCACTCCCCTCTCACAGGTGCTGTGTGTGTGCCCATCGACCCAGCCAACTGTGCTGACTTCGAGCCAAGCCAAGCCCCCACACTCAATCAGGTGCTGTTGTGTCCCTCGAACCACCATCGCTCGAATGAACTATGCCTCTATGTTTCTCAATTACGTGCTACTCAATTACTCTTCACCCCCTCTCCCGTTCCCTCATATTTGGTTCGTGTCAACTCAGCAGAGCAAGCCTGTGAAAGATCCGCAGCTGGATATCCCTTGAACCTCTCCCGATAGCCAACGCAACCTATGAAGCTGACTTCTGTCCCTTCCTCGTAAATCCCTTTCTCCCTTCCCTCCTCCCTCACCCCTTCCTCCCTTCAGCAGGTGGATGGGATCGATGCGGCTCATGGGGCATCAGATGTATGAAGATCTGTTTTGAGACGCCTCAAAACAAATCTTCATACACGTGCCTACAGGGAGTTTTTGAGAATTCTAAAAAAGTCATGGGGCATCAGATGTATGAAGATCTGTTTTGAGACGTCTCAAAACAAATCTTCATACACGAGCCTACCCTTCAGCAGGTGGATGAGATCGATGCGGCTCATGGGGCATCAGATGCCACCTCTTACAGGAGTTGCCTTCATTCTTTCTCCTTATCCTCCATTCCTCTTCTTCGTCCCCCTCCCCTCGCTCCTTCCTCCCTGTTCCTTTCCACAGCTAATGAATGAGATCAATGCAGCCCATCGGGAATCAGATGGCGCCGCTGCTGCACCCACTGGCAGGCCTCCTTGCCTTAATTCTCCCTCCTTATCCTCCACCGTTCTCCCCCGCCCTTCCCTCCCCTCACAGCTGATGAATGAGATCAATGCAGCCCATCGGGGACCAGATGGCGCCGCTGCTGCGGCCATGGGTAAGGGCTCCTTGCCTCTTTTCCTCCTCCTCACCTTCCTTACCTCTACCCTTATTTCTGTCCTTCGTTTCGTGCCTTGTCGATACTCTGGTGCATTTGATGTGCAATACGTGGACTTTTGACTAAGTAATGAACTTTCTGCATTGCTTTGGCTTCGTATCCTGTCCAATGTTCTTGGCTTTCTCTCTCGCTCGTTCGCTCCACTGCAGGCATTGAGTCGACATCACTCGCTCCCTTCATCGAAATTTTCCGAAGCACCTTCCTGCGGCCATTGCTTGCTGCCTCCAAGGTAATGAATCTGCTGTGTAATCCCGATTTTCTTAACTGTATTCTTATAATATCGTATTTATTGTTTAACACCTGTGCTGTTGCTACCAGTTCAAAATTGTTGTGGCTTTTGACCCTGTCTGCACCATCCCCTGTATTGCAGGAGGAACTGGAGGCAGAACACAAACAGAAGCTTCACAGTGGTGCAAACGCCAGAACAGTGGATTGGTAGTGCTTCCCTCTACAGCCCAGCCCAGAGGAATCTTGTCAACATGTATATACGGTACTAGTGCTGCCAATCTCTTGTTACACCGCCGATTACCGATTGTGAACGCCAGTGTAAACGTTAACAGCAGTCAGAATAATGGTCATAGAGGTGCAATCAGGGGTCTCCGGGTCTCATTGAATGTACAGCAGGTGTGTGCCTGTTCGGGTTGGCACTGCTATGCTGTTACCCTGTGAAAATTGGTTGATGGAACTGTACACTACCACTCCCATTAAATTACCTATACGGTACGTGAACTACTGTAAGGAATTTTCTCGACATTCCTTAGCGCGCCATGCAACATCGCGTACAGCAGCAGCCGATGCTCGCCCGTTACTGCTAACGGGGCCTCGCCGACTTCACGCGCACTGTTTCACTAAACCTCGCAATGCTGGCCCGGCCTTATCGGCCTACCGTACGCTTCGGGACTAGCCCGAGCCTCGCTGCCAGCGTACACCTAACCCGCGCTAATTTCAAAAACTTCGCACCGAGCCGCGATTTTGCCACTTGCGCAAGGGATATTTGTGTAGTGAGTCAGCACCTAGCTGTCTGTGCTGACGGGGCGGATTTGCCTCCCGCGTGTGTCGAGCGAGAAAGTTACGAAGCAGAAACTGAATGGTTTTGAAGTGTTGCTCTGCGTTCGAGAGTGGTTCGGCAAGAATTTTGAGTATGGGATGACGTGCCAGCATGTCATCCTACAGCGTCGTAATGTTCTGCTGACCATTCACCATGCCACGTGCGCTGTAACCCACCAGGCGACGATAAACCCTTAGAAATTGGGGGGATTGAAATTGGCGTGGGCTAGGTGTAGCACTAGCTAGCTCTTTACCGTTTGCATGTTTCGCATATAAATGTTCGATCATGCCTTCGCTCACATTTTGTACTCGTTTGACACTTCGTGCAAGTCTCGCTACCTCGATTCATTGCACCCATAACAACTACACAAATCATCTTGTGCATTTTTTTCCGTCCACCTGTGCTCAACATGTTCATTGTGGAAAGCATCTTTCTGTTTCCATGTACTATGAGTGAAATAGACGCACTAGAACAGCTTGATGAACGATTTCAACAACACCCCATCCTGGGTATGCATGCAGCGAGAAAGTGAGTCTCTGGTCCATGGTGGCACAGCACAACGAGTATATGCTGTTCTGCATGTGAGCGACCATAGGCACACATGCATGCTGTGTACAGATGTTTAGGTGGTAGAGCTTGGGAGGAGTGTGTGGGTAGGCAGGTAGTAAGGAGAGGAGTGAGAGTGGGATGTCCAGAAAGGTGGGGTTCAAAGGATAGGAGTGAGAGATGTGGGTGGTGGGAGGGGGGGCAGAAGAGGATGAGAATGTACAGAGGGAGGACAGGAAAGAGGTACCTAATAGAGATGAAAGTACAGGGCCAAGTGTTGGGACGAAGGGATAGAGAGATGGATGCAAGGGGGATAGGGGTAGGGAGAGAGGGAGGAGCGAATCGGATGGTTGCATGGACAGAGGGAGCAGAGGGATTAACGGGGGAAGGTACGGAGGAAGAAAGAGAGAATGTGACAGAGAGAGCAAGACAGAGAGCCGGAGTGAGGGAGAGAATGAGAGAAGGAGAGAGGGAGGGCGACCAGGAGGGAGGCAGGAGGGATGGAGGGAGGGGAGGATAGAGTGGCGGAGCGGGAGGGAGTGAGGGAGACAAGAGAGGAAGAAACAACAAGCGGATGCAAAAAGGGAGGTGAAGTGACGAGTGACTAAAGGAGGAAGGAAGGGAGAAGTGTCATAAACAAAGGAAGATGAGGAGGAGGGGCGCGCGAGGTGAGGGAATGGAGAAGGAGATGCGAGGAAGGCAGTGTTGGAGAGAGTGTGTGGGCAACAGCATTGAATGGAGAAGTAATGAAGAGCTTTGAGACAGGGGGACGGGATAAGGGGTGGAGAAGGGAAGACGAGGGGTGGACGAGGGGTGGAAGAGGGAAGAGGAGGGGTGGAGGAGGGGTGGAGAGGGAATAGGAGGGGTGGAGGAGGGAGGTGGGGTTAACGAGGGGAGAAGGGGGAAGTTGAAGAGGGTAGAGAGATTGAGAAAGGGCGAGCGGATTGGTGAAGGGGGAGGGGGAGGGAAATGGTGCAGTAGGCGGGCGGGGAACAGGAGAAGGGGCGAAGGGTTCGGGGTTTCGGGTATAGGAGGCGAAGGACTGAGGAAGTGGGGGACAGCAGGTCGGAGACAGCGTCATGGTGGGGACGATTAGGGATAGAGAGGGGGAGAGGAGACGTGAGCGGTATGGGAGGAAAGGAATGTGGTGCGTCGAGGCCAATGAAAAGGGAATGCGGGTCGATTTGCAGGGAATGCGAGGAGATGAAGAAACAGGCGGCATTTCGAAGTCGGGGAAGCGGGAATGGGGTTGGTTTGTTCGATTTTGTAAGTGGGAACTTTCAAAACGACAAGCATCAATGATGCAGGTTGTAAGAGTCGTTCGCCAAGAGCTTGGCTTTGCTCGTTAAATAACACAAACCCAAGGACACACAAGCTGATGACGAAGAACGTCTACGGATCAGCGGGTTTTGGCCCCACAAACAGGTCCCTCTTCACATTTCTTTCACACTCGCACGCATGCTACGCTACGGAGTACGCGAGAGCGATGCGGAATACGTTAAGTAGCACACACACAAAAAAAAAAAGAGGAAAAACAGGGTCACACACCGTCCCACGCGAACTTAACACCCGCGACAGCACCCGCGAGTGCGTGCGTTGGTCATCGGGTTATTCATGGTTGAGCACTCAGGTAGGCGACACAGAATTCTACTGAAGTTTACAGGGGAGGGGAAGAAGGGGGGAGACGGGAAAAGAGGGGCAAGGGGGCAAGACAGAAATTAGAATAGTCAACATCTAAGACTCCTTATTTTAATCCAGATCCCAAATCTAAAACCTTGAATCAGCTCGGTAAAAAGAGGCTCGCAATTATACGTACATTTAAGTGGAGGCCGGCGCAGCGGGTTTCCGAAGCAGCAGCAGGTGTGCGGGAGTGAAGATCCCGGTCTCGCCTCCTTGTGTCAGGTGCACAGCGACCGTCGTCAGCATGTTGTGAACGTCCACCAGTCCCTTGGGAGCAATGTTGAGCATCGACACGATCTTCACGAGCAGGTGATTGCGAGCATACGCGATACGGCCGATCTTGAGGCGCGTCCACCAGGGGAGAGCAGGAGGAGCTGCGACATCCCTGTTGTCAATAACTTCGAACCCCACCGCTTCAGCTGCTTCCACGATCTCCTTGTAAGATCGAAGCTCCGGAAGCGCGTTCCCGTAGCAGATGTCGTCAATAATCTTAACGTGCTCCTTGTTGTCTGGGTCGTACTTGTGCGTCTTCACCCACTCGTACGTCGCGTACAGCTGGCCGGGCTTCAGCACGCGGAAGATCTCGCCGTAAACGTCCGTCAGCTTCGGAGCATGGCAGGTAGCCTCGATAGAATAAGCAGCATCAAAGCTGTTATCCTCAAACGGCAGCTCAAGAAAGTTGCCTTGGACCACCGTGCACAGCTTGTCCAAGCCTCTCCGGGCATTGTGCTGCTGAGCACGCTCCACTTGATACTCGTTAATAGTAACACCAGTTACATTCGCTCCGGACTTGGCCGCGATCGCGCGCATTGGTCCGCCGACTCCGCATCCCGCGTCCAGAACCTTCATTCCAGGCTTAAGCTTCAATATAGTCGCAATGTACTCCTCATGAGCGATCGTCGCCTCCCTATCTGACTTCCCGGGGAGAGCAGGCGAGAAATGGAAGCTCTGTCCCCACCCCCATTCGTAAATGTCGGTCACGAGATTGTAAAATGTGTCGACAAATTGAGGAGCTTGGCTCTTTTCGGTGACTCCTTCGCCAGGATTTTGTTGGAAGTATCTGTCGTAGTTAGTCCAGCCGTTAGCCACTTCATCCTTCTTCAACTTTCCTCCGCTGAGCTCTGTGGTGGACTTGCCTTTCACCTCGGGCTTGCCAATGGATGAGAGAACCAAGGTTGTTGCGCCAACAACGGCCACTGCAGCAGCTACCCCGAACCACGTCGCCTGGGCCGGGGATATCGAGACGTCAGAGCGGAAAACACTCGATACGAGCATTAGCAGATCCATCTCCGCCAGACCTTCACACAACCTCAAGAGCTTCCAGGTGCTCTGTATCATGGATCTAGAAAGAAGAATCAATCCTGAAATGGGAATGCTAGTCCCAATAAACACAAACGAGAATGGCCATGGAAACCAGGGCCTAGGAGTTGATTGGAGGACAAGTGGCTGATCAGTTTCTGTGGAAAGATATGGGGGTTAGAGGGGAATGTGGATGGAAAGGGGGAAGAAGGGGCAAGAGGGGGGGAAGCTGGTTTGTCTTGTGGGGGCACAACCGCCAAAGCAGTACAGGTTGGGAGTCCGCGTTGCTGGCGCCCCAAACCATATTATTTGTCAGAATATTATTGGAAGTAAGGGGCAGGCTGGTTGGGCTGAGGTTCGGACGAAGGTCGAGGCTCCGTACGAGGTCTGGCTCGGAGATGTCCGAAGGTCTTGGGACGCTGGGAGTGGACGGCTGTTGGGAATCAGCGGCTTTGTTGCCTGATCGTGAAGACACAATATTCGGTTCGGATGAGGCTCGGAATATTTACAGTAAATTGGTTCTGGCCTGGCTGGGGGCCCAATGGTCTGCGGAGTTGGCGCAAGTACAGTACGATGTGCTTCCTCTGATTGGCGGAACACCACCAATTCCCGCTTTGGCCAGTCTGCTTGCCTTCGATCGACCCGTGTTCGCTAGGGAGGGAAAAGAGAGAATTTCTCCAGTGGCCAATCGGGTGATTCATCCTCTCTCGGGGGGCCTCGAATTACTCGAGTGGCCACGAAATTGGGTGATAATTACTCGAGTGACCACGCCAGGGGATTCCTGCTCGCTTTTTTTTAACCGGCGCATTACCCTACGGGTCTTTGTAGCCCTGAAATTCCTTATTCGTGCGATTGGTATCCCTAGGTGGTGTTCCGTACCTTAAAATTTCGCCAGGCTCACGGACGCGAAAGTGGCCCGCCCACTGTACAAGAAACCGACCAACAGTACATTGACCGGTCAGTTTCGGCCAAATGCACGACCAATGAGCGCGCGGTCCATCTAATTAACATCCAATCAGCGATCGAGTATATGACTTCGCGATCATATACTGCATTTCACCCGAAACGAACCGACACAGCAAAACGACCGCGCTCGATTAGTCAGGAGATAGAGTGGTGCATTTGTTGTCACTGCGCGTCTAATCAGGCGCAAGATTTACGGATTGCCGATCATATTTGAACGCGTTCATTAAACACAATTTACTATATGGCTGTATGGGATTTAAGAGTATGTTTTATATGCACCCTAAGCACACAAACTTGGACAAATCATATGCGCACTAATATTTGTTAGTGCGCGGTCCTATTTTATATATGGCTGCCATTTCATTTGGACGGGGATAATTGGACGCTCAATGGCAAAGCATGTCCTGAGATTAAAACAAACCAATCACGCGCGGTAATTTAGTTTATTGCGAATTGATGGCCGATCATTTCGGTATATGATGGGGAATTCAATGATGGCGCCTGATTGGACGCTCAATGGCAACATATGCACCGCGCATGTTTTTTACGAATCATGCGCGTGTGAAGCAAGGAAAACAGGAATGAAATGACTAAGTCAGAGTTGGGTACAAATACAACCCTAGAAAGCTGTACCCCATATGTGCTACCCCACTATAGCCTACAAACATGCATCAGCTATAATACTCTGACACACCCCCATAGGCTAAGTGGGGGAGAACAAGGGGTCACAAGACCAGTCAAGCAAAGCAAAGCAAAGCAAGCTCAGGGTGGATCACAAAGTCACCACACAGTCCGAGCACAAGAGGAGGGCCAGAGGCCAGTTCACATGCAGGAGTACAGACATATATATAAAACTAGACAAGCAAGAGCAGGTATATATATATGTCACAGTACAAGTGAAGTCAAGAGGAGAGCAAGTGACGCAAGACAGGTACAAGACCCAGCTGGGTGCAAAAGCGCTGATGGTCACAAGGCGCGAGTGCCTTGGTGAACACATCAGCAGTGTTGGCCTCAGAGGCCACGTACGCAAGTCGCAACTGACCACGCTGCTGCAGCTCACGAGCAAGGAAGTAGCGGAGAGCAATGTGCTTCGTTCTGTGCTCCAAGCGCTGCTCTCGACACAAGGCCAGCATGGCCTTGTTGTCTACGTACAGCACTGGAGGAGAACGAGGCGGCTCTCCAAGGTCAGTCAGCAGGTAGGTGAGCCAGCGAAGCTCCTGTGCAGCCATGGCCCCGGCGTAGATCTCAGCCTCACAACTGGAGCCGAGAACCGAAGACGAGCGAGTAGACCGCCACGAGACAGAGCCGGAACCAAGGCTGAAGGTGTAACCCTGTGACGACCGCTGCGTAGCCTGGTCGTCAGCCCAAGAAGCGTCCGCGTGGCCGGTAAGGACCACTGGACTCCGCCCTCCAAGCACTAGCCCCATGCCCGACGTACTGCACAGGTAGCGCAATACCCTCTTCGCTGCAGCCATGTGCTCTGGTCTGTGTCTCCCAGGAGCAACATAGCGTGCAAGAATGCTCAGAGGGTATGCAAGGTCAGGTCGTGTGCAGGTCATCAGGTACATGAGGCAGCCAACAAGCTCTGCATACGGACCACTCGACTCTACGGACTCATCCAAAGGCAGAGCTGAGAGTGAGTGGCGAGTAGGCAGAGGAGTGGCCTGAGGCGAGGAGTACGTGAAGCCGAAGCGCTGAAGGACCTGCTGCACCATGTGTGACTGAGTCAGGGTAATGGTGCGGCGTGCTCTGTCCCGAGTGATCTGCAAGCCAAGGTAGCTGCGCAGTTCACCCAGGTCTGTGCACGTGTGTCTCTTCAGCAGCTCGGACTTCACGTAGGCGAGTCCAGCAGTGTCCGCTGTGGCAAAGACCAAGTCGTCGACGTACACGAGGATGTAGAACGGCGGCAGGGAAGTGTCGGTGCGAAGAAACAGCGACGGGTCAGCAGTAGAAGGAGCAAACCCAAGAGCCGCAAGCGTAGTCCTCAGTGTGTCGTGCCACTCACGCGGTGCCTGGCGGAGACCGTAGACTGGCCGTCGGAGGCTCCACTGGGTGCCAGGAGGGAAAGTCCCAGTGAAGCCAGGTGGACGGCGCAGCCAGATCTCCTCGTGCAGGCTACCCTGCAGGAACGCAGTGCTGAAGTCGAGAGAGTGAAGCTCGTAGTCGCGCTGAGCGGCTATGTGCAGCAGCACCCGAAGAGTGGTCATCTTCGGGGTGGGAGAGAAGGTCTGAAAGTAGTCAACTCCCTGCCGCTGACTGAAGCCACGAGCAACGTACCGCGCCTTGAAGACAGGTGGAGAGCCCGGCGGCCGCTTCACCCTGAAGATCCACATGCCACTGACGATGTTCGCCCCAGGAGGGGGAACCGCGTCAACGTAGGTGCCTGTGGACTTCCAGGAAGCCATCTCTGCATCCATAGCTGCCTGCCACTGAGAGGAGTAGGGACCCTCTACGGCCTCCGCGTAAGAACGCGGAGTCGGGATGTCTAGTGCATCCGGGTCTCCCTCAGGGGCAAGCAGTACAGATGCGAGATGAGGTGAAGCAGCCGCTAGACACTGTAACTCCTCCTGCCTGTCCTCTAGGACGTCCGTGCCAAGAGCACACTCACCCCCGACGGACGGAGGACAGACAGACGCAGACTCAGCAACAAGACTAGCAGCGTAGTCGAGACGACAGCGAGCAGCAAAGTCGACGAGCTCAGCGACTAGAGCAGACGCAGCAGTAGACTCAAAAGAGGGGTCAGTGACGACAGTAGCAAGCAGACGCGTGACAGTAGGACTGGCAGCACGAAGAGAGTCCGACTCAGGGTCGGCAAGCGCAGGAAGAGAGGACTCCGGAGGAGAAGGCAAAGGGGCACGCAGAGGAGCAGTGGACGGACGCAAAGACATCCGGTGCGTGCCAGGGACAGGAGGAGGACGCTGACGCGAACTGCGACCACTAGCGCGAGCAGCACGAACAGGCGACGCGGGACGAGACGCAGGCTCACGACGCTCAGCAAGACCTCCAGTAGGACGAGTGTAAGGAGAGGGAGTAGGCAGGGGAGAGGAAGGCTCCAGCAGGGACTGCGACTGGACAGGCGGTGGACCCTCTACTGGAGGAGAAAGACCAAGAACCTGCTGCAGAAGCGGAACGAAGTACGGCCGAGGCCGCGCGGCAGCTCCAGACGCAGCAGGGACAGCACCAGCACCCTCAGCGACAGCACCAGCGCCACCCACACCTCCAGCGGCAGGACCAACAGCAGTAGGCTCAGCACCAGCGCCCTCAGCAGCTCCAGCTCCAGGAGGACCCGCAGGTCCAGCAGCTCCGGGACCGGCAGCACCCGCACCCTCGACGGTCGAAGAAGCTCCAGCTCCAGCTCCAGCAGCACCTCTAGACTCAGCAGTACGCCTCCAGCGGCGAGCGAACCACTCGCGCAGCTCCTGTGGAGAGAGGGGCTCCCGGCGAGACGCAGCAGCAGGAGAAACCCCAGGCTCAGCAGCCCCAGACGCAGCACCCCCAGGCTCAGCAGCTCCCAGCTCAGCACCCCCAGGCTCAGCAGCTCCCGACCCAGCACCCCCAGACCCAGCACCTCCAGGCACAGCACCCCCCGGCTCAGCACCCCCAGGCTCCGCACCCTCCGCAGTAGCACCCTCAGGCCCAGCACCCCCAGCAGTAGCACCCCCAGGCTCAGCACCCCCGCGCACAGCACCCCCAGAGTCAGCACCCCTAGGCTCAGCACCCGCAGCAGCACCAGAGTCACCAGTAACCTCGACCGGGTCAACGGCGTCTACCTGGGACACACCTGAGGGGGCAGGAACCTGAGGGGGGAGGGGGTCTACCGGGGGGGGAACCGGCACAAGGAAGTCCGGGGGAGGGGGGAGGGAAGGAGTGCGGTAGGGGAAGAGACGGTAGAAGGGGACTGACTCGTCGAACGTGACGTCCTGGGAGGACAGAACACGACGAGAGGAGGGGTGGTAAAACTGCCACCCTAGGGCGTCAGTGGGGAAGCCAAGGAAGACACAGGGAGCAGCACGAGGGGACAG